ATGATATATATATATACTCAGAAAAATATTTTAAGGTAACTTATTTTCTCACTTCCTAACGTCAATTCTATTATCTAAATTTATATTTTTCATAATATACTTTGTAAAAAATATCAAATGATTTAAAGTAACATAACAATTTGTTAGAAAAAAAAATATTTTTAAAGCTCTTTCTAAAACTACTTCTTTTGAAGCGCTTCTTTTAAAGGAAGATCTCAAAAACACCTTTAACTTGAAAAACAATATATAAATAAACCAATTTTACATGAAAAAACTTGGAACACTTAAAATAAGCTAATCTTTTTAGCATGTAATCGTTACACAAAATAAATAAAATGGAATTCTACAGGGTAAGAGAAGCAACACTATGAACCCCTTACTATTGCACCGGAGAAATATAGAAGATAAACAACTTATCGACAATTGCCCTTTCGACAACGCATTTCTATTGGAATAAAATCTTTGACAACATGTTTAAATGCCATGCACACTACCAACAAGGTTTAGAAAACTAAAAAAAAATACATCTTAACTATTTTAAGATAAATATAAATCTAAACAATCATATATATCTATTATAACGATGGATACAACTTCAACCTCAACTGTCTATGGGAATTGAACCCATGACCACATGGTTAAAAACAATGCGCTCTACTAGTTGAGCTAAGAAAACTAACAATTTTAAACTTATTTTACACATATTGTAAATATTTATCCATATTTAAAATCTATAAAGCATTAACTAGAAAATGAGATACAGGTAAACTAATATTTCTCTATGTTTTTCACACACAAAATTTGAAGCTAATTGTACATTGGCATTAAATGAAATAAAGAACAAGGTTAACTTATAACTTTTTGAATAAAAATTACACCCAAAAATTATTTTAGAAATGTTGAAAGAATTGTTTTCATATTTCAGTTAATCTTTTCGACATGTAATCGTTACACACAGGAAATAAAATGAAATTGTACATCTTAACAGAAGCAACACTATGAACCCCTTAAAGTAAAATAAAAAATATCTAAATTTATATTTTTCATAATTTACTTTGTAAAAAATATCAAATAATTTAAAGTAACATAATAATTTGTTAGAAAAAATATTTTTAAAGCTCTTTCTAAAACTACTTCTTTTGAAGCGCTTCTTTTAAAGGCACGTCTCAAAAACACCTTTAACTTAAAAAACAATAAATAAACCAATTTTCCACGAAAAAACTTGGAACACTTAAAATAAGCTAATCTTTTTAGCATGTAATCGTTCCACAAAATAAATAAAATGGACTTCTACAGGGTAAGAGAAGCAACACTATGAGCCCCTTACTATCGCAACGGAGAAATATAGAAGATAAACAACTTATCGACAATTTCCCTTTCAATAACACATATCTATTGGAATAAAATCTTAGACAACAAGTTTAAATGCCATGCACACTACAAAGAAGAAATACAAAACTAAAAAATTACATCCTAGCTATTTTAAGACAATATAAACCTAAATAATCATATACATATCTATATTATAACAATGGATACACCTTAACCTCCACCATCTGTGGGAATCGAACCCACAACCACATGGTTAAAAGCCATGCGCTCTACCAGCTGAGCTAAGACAACTAACAATTATAAACTTAATTTTACACGAATCGTAAATATTTATCCATATTTAAAATCTATAAAGTATTGTTTAGAAAATGAGATACATGTAAACTAATATTTCTCTATGTTTTTCACACAAAAATTGAAGCTAATTGTACATTTAGGATTAAATCAAATAAAGAACAAGGTTAACCCATAACTTTTTGAATAAAAAATACTGATAACTTGGAAAACTTAAAAGATACTAATATTTTCAGCATGAACCATTACACAGAAGAAATAAAATAGAATTGTACATGTTAACAGAAGCAACACTATGAACCCCTTACTGTTGCACTTCAAAAAAATTGAAGATGGATAACTTATCGGCAATTGCCCTTTCGACAACACATACCCATTGGAATAAAATCTTAGACAATAAGATTAAAGGGCATGCACACTACCAACAAGGTTTATAAAAAAATACATCTTAACTATTTTAAGACAATATAATCCAAAACAATGATACATATCTATTATAGCAATGGATACACCAACCTCCGTCGTCTGTGGGAATCGAACCCACGACAACATGGTTAAAAGTCATACCCTCTACAAAAGTAGCTAAGATAACTAACAATTATAAAATTGATTTTACACATATCATAAATATTTATCCGTATTTATAATTTATAAAGCATAATTTAGAAATTGAGATACAAGTAAACTAATGTTTCTTTATATTTTTCAAAAAATAAATAAATAAAGGTAATTGTACATTTGTGAATAAATGAAGTTAAGAACAAGGTTAACGGTTAACTTTTGGACTAAAAAATACCTCCAAAAAATTATTTTAGAAATGTTGAAAGAATTGCTTTAGTATTTTAGCCTCTTACTTTATGATATATATATATATATATATTTAGGAAAATAATTTAAGGTAACTTATTTTCTCACTTTCTAACAACAATTCTATTTTCTAAATTTATATTTTTCATAATACACTTTGCAAACAATATCAAACTATTTAAAGTAACATAACAATCTGATAGAAAAAATATTTTCACTTATAACTTTTTGAATAAAAAATAACTCCCAAAAATTATTTTAGAAATGTTGAAAGAATTGTTTTCATATTTTAGCCTCATACTTTATGATATATATATATATACTCAAAAAAATAATTTAAGGTAACTTATTTTCTCACTTTCTAACAACAATTCTATTTTCTAAATTTATATTTTTCATAATACACTTTGCAAACAATATCAAACTATTTAAAGTAACATAACAATTTGATAGAAAAAATATTTTTAAAGCTCTTTCTAAAAGTACTTCTTTTGAAGCGCTTCTTTTAAAGGCACATCTCAACAACAATTTTAACTTGAAAACATTGAATAAATAAACCTAATTTTCCCCGAAAAACTTGGAACACTTAAAAGAAGCTAATCTTTTCGGCATGTAATCGTTACACACAGGAAATAAAATGAAATTGTACAGGTTAATAGAAGCAACACTATGAACCCCGTATTGTCGCACTAGAGAAATATAGAAGATAAACAACTTATCGACAATTACCCTCACGACAATGCATATCTATTGGAATAAAATCTTAGACAACGAGTTTAAATGCCATGCACACTGCCAGCAATGTTTAGAAAACTAAAAAAAAAATTATCTTAACTATTTTAAGATAATTATTAATCTAAACAATCATACAAATCTATTATAACAATGGATACAACTTCAACCTCCGCTATCTGTAGGAATCGAACCCACGACCACATGGTTAAAAGTCATGCGCTCGACCAGCTAAGCTAAGACAACTAACAATTATAAACTTAATTTTACACGTATCGTAAATATTTATCCATATTTGAAATCTATAAAGTATTGTTTAGAAAATGTGATAAGGTAAACTAATATTTCTCTATGTTTTCCACACAAAATAATTTGATGCTAAATTTATATTTTTCATATTATACTTTGTAAACAAGATCAAACTATTTAAAGTAACATAACAATTTGATAGAATATTTTTTAAAGCTCCTTCTAAAAAAACTTCTTTTGAAGCGTTTCTTTTCAAGGAACATCTCAACAACACTTTTAACTTGAAAAAATGAATAAATAAACCTAATTTTCCAAGAAAAAAAACTTGGAACACTTAAAAGAATCTAATATTTTCAGCATGTAGCCGTTACACACAAGAAATAAAATGAAATTGTATAGGTTAACAGAAGCAACACTATGAACCCCTTACTATTGCACTAGAGAAATATAGAAGATAAAAAACTTATCAACAATTACCCTTTCAACAACTCATCTATGTGAATAAAATCTTAGAGAACAAGTTTAAATGTCATGCACATTACCAGTAAGGTTTAGAAAACAAAAAAAAAAATTACATCTTAACTATTTAAGATAATATAAATTTAAACAATCATACAAATCTATTATAACAATATACACCTTCAACCTCAGCTGTCTGTGGGAATCGAACCCACGACCACATGGTTAAGAGCCATCCGCTCTATCAGTTGAGCTAAGACATCTAACAATTATAAACTTAATTTTACATGTATCGTAAATATTTATCCAAATTTAAAATCTGTAAAGTATTGTTTAGAAAATGAGATACATAATATTTCACTATGTTTCTCACGCAAAAAAATTGAAGCTAATTGTACGTTTGGGATTAAATGAAATAAAGAACAAGGTTAACTTATAATTTTTTGAATAAAAAATAACTCCAAAAAAATATTTTAGAATTGTTGAAAGAATTGTTTTCATCTTTAGCATCATACTTTATGATATATATATATATATATATACTCAGAAAAATAATTTAAGGTAACTTATTTTCTCACTTTCTAACATCAATTCTATTTTCTAAATTTATATTTTTCATAATATACTTTGTAAAACTTATCAAACTATTTAAAGTAACATAACAACTTGATAGAAAAAATATTTTTAAAGCTCTTTCTAAAAGTACGTCTTTTGAAGCGCTTCATTTAAAGGCACATCTCAACAACACTTTTTACTTGAAAAACAATGAATAGATAAACCTAATTTTCCATGAAAAACTTGGAACACTTAAAAGAAGTTAATCTTTTCGGCATGTATTCGTCACACACAGGAAATAAAATGAAATTGTACATGTTAACAGAAGCAACACTTTGCACCCCTTACTATCGCACCAGAGAAATATAGAAGATAAAAAACTTATCGACAATTACCCTCACGACAACGCATATCTATTGTAATAAAATCTTAGACAACAAGTTAAAATGCCATGCACACTACCAACAAGGATTAGAAAACAAAAAAAAAAATTCCATCTTATCTATTTTAAGATAATATAAATCTAAACAATCATACAAATCTAATATAACAACGGATACACCTTCAACCTCCGCTGTCTATGGGAATCGAACCCACAACCACATGGTTAAAAGCCATGCGATCTACCAGCTGAGCTAAGACAACTATCAATTATAAACTGATATTTGAAATCTATAAAGTATTGTTTAGAAAATGTGATACAAGTAAACTAATATTTCTCTATGTTTTTCACACAAAATATTTGATGCTAATTATACATTTGGGATTAAATGAAATAAAGAACAAGATTAATCGATAACTTTTTGAATAAAAAATAACTCCCAAAAATTATTTTAAAAATGTTGAAAGAATTGTTTTCATATTTTATCCTCATACTTTATGTATATATATATATATATATATATTCTACATATACATATTTATATATACATATATACTCATAAAAATAATTTAAGGTAACTTATTTTCTCACTTTCTAACATCATTTCTATTTTCTAAATTTATATTTCTCATATTATGCTTTGTAAACAAGATCAAACTATTTAAAGTAACATAAAAATTTGATAGAATATTTTTTTAAAGCTCTTTCTAAAATAACTTCTTTTGAACCACTTCTTTTAAAGGCACATCTAAACAACTCTTTTAACTTGAAAAACAATGAATAAATAAACCTAATTTTCCAAGAAAAAAACTATCGCACTATGAACCCCTTACTATCGCACTATAGAAATATAGAAGATACAAAACTTATCAACAATTACCCTTTCAACAACTCATCTATAGGAATAAAATCTTAGAGAACAAGTTTAAATGCCATGCACACTACAAAGAAGAAATAGAAAACTAAAAAATTACATCCTAGCTATTTTAAGACAATATAAACCTAAATAATCTTACATATCTATATTATAACAATGGATACACCTCAACCTCCACCATCTGTGGGAATCGAACCCACAACCACATGGTTAAAAGCCATGCGCTCTACCAGCTGAGCTAAGACAGCTAACAATTATAAACTTAATTTTACATGTATTGTAAATATTTATCCATATTTAAAATCTATAAAGCATAATTTAGAAAATAAGATACGAGTAAACTAAAATTTCTATATGTTTTTTCACAAAAAAATGAAGTTAATTGTACATTTGGGATTAAATGAAGTAAAGAACAAGGTTAACCGATAACTTTTTGAATAAAAAATACTGATAACTTGGAACACTTAAAAAATATTAATCTTTTCAGCATGAAACCGTTACACACAATAAATAAAATAAAATTGTACAGGTTAACAGAAGCAACACTATGAACCCCTTGCTATCGCACTTTGTTTAGAAAATGGGATACATGTAAACTAATATTTATCCAAATTTAAAATCTGTAAATAAAAGAATCTAATCTTTTCATCATGTAGCCGTTACACACAAGAAAAAAATGAAATTGTACAGGTTAACAGAAGTAACACTATGAACCCCATACTATCGCACTAGAGAAATATAGAAGATAAAAAACGTATCAACAATTACCCTTTCAACAACTCATCTATGGGAATAAAATCTTAGAGAACAAGTTTAAATGTCATGTACATTACCAATAAGGTTTAGAAAACAAAAACAAAAAAATTACATCTTAACTATTTTAAGATAAATATAAATCTAAACAATCATACAAATATTTTATAACAATGATTACACCTTCAACCTCCGTTGTCTGTGGGAATCTAACCCATTACCACATGGTTAAAAGCCATGTTCTTTACCCACTGGGCTAAGGCAGCTGACAATTATAAACTTAATTTTACATGTATCGAAATATTTATCCATATTTAAAATCTATAAAGCATAATTTATAAAATAGGATACAAGTAAACTAAAATTTCTATATGTTTTCACAAAAAAATGAAGTTAATTGCACATTTGGGATTAAATCATGTAAAGAACAAGGTTAATCGATAACTTTTTGAATAAGAAATACTGATAATTTGGAACACTTAAAAAATATTAATCTTTTCAGCATGAAACCGTTCCACACAATAAATAAAATGGAATTGTATAGGTTAACAGAAGCAACACTATGAATCCCTTACTATCGCACTTGAGAAATATAGAAGATAAAGAACTTATCGGCAATTTCCCTTTAGACAACACATATCTATTGGAATAAAATCTTAGAAAACAAGTCTAAAGGGCATGCACACTACCAACAAGGTTTATAAAATTAAAAAAATGCATATTAACTATTTTATGACAATATAAACCAAAACAATCATACATATCTAATTGTACATTTGTGAATAAATGAAGTTAAGAACAAGCTTAACAGTTATCTTTTGGAAAAAAAATACCTCCAAAAAATTATTTTAGAAACGTTGAAAGAATTGCATTAGTATTTTAGCCTCTTACTTTATGATATATATATATATATATATATATATATATATATTCAGGAAAATAATTTAAGGTAACTTATTTTCTCACTTTCTAACATCAATTCTATTATCTAAATTTATATTTTTCATAATTTACTTTGTAAAAAATATCATATGATTTAAAGTAACATAATAATTTGTTAGAAAAAATATTTTTAAAGCTCTTTCTAAAACTACTTCTTTTGAAGCGCTTCTTTTAAAGGCGCGTCTCAAAAACACCTTTAACTTAAAAAAACAATAAATAAATAAACAAATTTTCCACGAAAAAACTTGGAACACTTAAAATAAGCTAATCTTTTTAGCATGTAATCGTTCCACAAAATAAATAAAATGGAATTCTACAGGGTAAGAGAAGCAACACTATGAGCCCCTTACTATCGCAACGGAGAAATATAGAAGATAAACAACTTATCGGCAATTTCCCTTTTGATGACGTAGATCTAATGGAATAAAATCTTAGACAACAAGTTTAAATGCCATGCACACTACAAAGAAGAAATAGAAAACTAAAAAATTACATCCTAGCTATTTTAAGACAATATAAACCTAAATAATCATACATATCTATATTATAACAATGGGATACACCTCAACCTCCACCATCTGTGGGAATCGAACCCACTACCCACATGATTCAAAGCCATGTGCTCTACCAGCAAAGCTAAGACGGCTAACAATTATAAATTTGATTTTACATGTATCGTAAATATGTATCCATATTTATAATCTATAAAACGTAATTTAGAAAAAGAGATAAGGTAAACTAATATTTATCTATGTTTTTCACACAATATTTAAAGCTAATTGTACATTTGGGATTAAATGAGTAAAGAACAAGGTTAAGCGATAACTTTTTGAATAAAAAGTACATCCCAAAATTTATTTTAGAAATGTTGAAAAAATTGTTTTCGTAGTTTAGCCTCATACTATATGATATATATACTTAGAAAAATAATTTAAGGTAACTTATTTTCTCATTTTCTAAAATCAATTATATTTTTCATAAATATTTTGTAAACAATATCAAACTATTTAAAGTAACATAACAATTTGATAGAAAAAATATTTTCAAAGCTGTAACCCCCACAGACCGATAAGGGTAACCAGATCCGATCCGGGGTGTCACATTTGGGCCACCGGAGCGACCCATTGTAAAAATAGCGGAAAATTTAAAACTTTTTATCAGAACATGTAAACTTATAAAATCATTTGTCGCTATTTAAAAATAAAACAGATTTTTTAGACTCGTATATAAATCAAAATACAATTACATGCCCCCTAATCACATGTACCATACTATGAAACAACGCCGGAAGAACTCCCTTACTGAAGTCAATAGATGCACTGGTACAATTCTTTTAACCTGAAAAGGTGAGTAATAGAGTGAGCTTCGAAAAGCTTAGTAATACAGAACTACCAGATGATGCTGAACGTGCAGATACAAATAAACATACATATCCTTATTATTTCTGAACATTTATAGATTTTTATGTTGAGCAGAGATCCTACTGATATTTCAGATGGTAACGGACAATGAGCTTTCAGTTCAGACAAATATTTCGGATGACTGAGTTCAGGAGATCAGAATATGTTATCTAGTATGTTCCCAAAAACCATGTAACTTTTCAGATCTTTTTAAAACATATATATATATACCCCCATCCCAACACATCATAATGTGTAGGTTCCCCATAACCATACACCCAACCTAACACATCATATAAGGCCCTGAGCACAAAGCCGAGGAACCTGCGAAACTTCTTCCTTCAACAATACCCCCCAATTAAAACATTTTCCGTCCGTAAATGGATATATCAAAAATCAAAATATAAATCAGGTCAAGTATCATATCAGAAATTAGGTCAAGTAACAGATCAGAATCCAAGTCAAGTGTCAGATCAGAATCCATGTCAGATATCAGATCAGAATCCTTGTCAAGTATCAGATCAGAATTCAAATCGAAAATCAGATAAAATATTCATGTGAGTAGGGAACACACCAGAGTTTACATGTATTATTTAGAGGTACTGTATCAGGCAGAGAAACACAGTTCTTCAGTATGTCGATAGAATGTTGGAATTTAGAATCACTTTTGGAATAGTTCATTAACTGACAGAATCATCAGTTATTCAGAATGTGAATTATCAGGATATTATCTTATTCGGACAGTTTTCAGAAGCTGTATGTAATCAGAAGGGTATTTAGAATCCTATACATCCATGTCAATTGATCGGATAATCGAACAACTTGAGAACAAAGATTCAAAACCTTAACAATCTATGTCGACTGGTCAATTCATTTTCCTTCTAAGGTATTTACTCTTTAATACCACAAATTCTTGTCCGTAGACCACTTTCGGAATCATCACTGAATAAATCTTCCAATGTCTTTATTTCATTTCCACGTTTCCACAATATCATGGAATGCTGACGTATTTGATTAATTTGTTCATAACCCATTGAAATTGTACACTACCTAAACTCATCAGAGTTTCCAGACTTATCCAAATCACTTATTAAATCCTCAGTCATTGAGGTTACCTAGTTCATTTAGCAGTCATGTCCATTCCAGTTACTTCAGGATTTTCTAGAGTAATTCAAACATTCATGAATTTCAGATACATGTTGTACTTCCATTCCATTCAATTTGGTCTTCGTGGTTGATTTGTCGAAAAAGCGTCCAATTATTAGTATTGAATACGATCTAGAGCTGAGCT